ACAAAAATACTTTTGTGAGATATTTACAAATGGATCGGCGTGCGTGTTCTGGTCCACGATGTACATGTATGTTACTAGACTGCTGTTGAAATTTTCTCGCGCGTATTTTGTTACGCATTTTACCCGTAAACAGGGCCCAAAGAATACTCTTTATGGGACGAAGGATCTTAATTATGCGCCAATGTACATAGGCCTACAGTGCAGTGTTACGGTATGACATGGGTGTAGGCCTACGAGTACTACGAACGATGTACGAGTTTTAAATTGAGTTATTTTGAACTTTCTGCAGTGATATGAATTTACAAAAAAAATGAGGAGATTATGAGGTCGCTTGTTGTATATATTCAAGGCACACAGTAGCGCGTCCTTTTTCTTTCGCATTTCGATGTGAATGGGAACGGGAATCCGAAAAACTTACTTACTACCCACTGCAGAACGTGCGTTGCTATGGAAGGGTGCGGTTTGTTTATCCAAAAAAAGGGTTGTCAAGGCCGGTTGGCACGTGCGCGATCGAAACTTCGAAATGGCTTATATGATGTTTTGATACTATACTGTTTGTTTGTTGTTTCTTCTCATGCACAGGTGGGTGTAGCCTGTTTGTTAGGTTTGCTGTATTATGCTAAACGAAATTATGAAAGTACAAGTACATGTAACTTAATTTGACCTCAGGATCGTATGATGATTTGCTGATCATGGCATGTGGATCTTGATGAATCAAAACATCATGACTTTACTGTGTACCAAGCATGGCACGTGTGCGTGTAGATGTAATCATGTACTGTACATGTACGTGAGCGCATGCAAAGCAGACACAGTGACCATGTTTGACCTGAGTAGCCTCATCATACAGAGAAATAAGTTACTTTACACAAAACTCTTTGCATGCATGTAGTGTATGTTTGTATAGTTGGCCTTATTTTTAAAGGCTTGTGCATGTTATATTCACCACTTTTTAAAAATATGTTTTTAAATTGTTCAGAGCAACAAAATCGTCTAAAAATCCTGGAGGATTTGCAACAGCAGAAGAAGAGACTGCAGATGCAGACAGGTGCACCAGGGTGAGTCACACGAAATCCCCCCTACCAAAGAGTCCAAAATCCATATCAGCCTGCGTCATCTTCGACTGCCCAAATTGGCAAGAATGTCACATTTTCAAGCAACGTCTTCCCCAAAACACTCCCTAATCTTTAAGACTTCTGGAAGCTGCAAAAGTAATTTGGAGCTGATGCATACCTTGTAAGAAGTTAGAAAAGGAAGTGAAAGAGAGATGTGGAGATGTCCTTAAAAGTAAGATTGCAGAAGTTGAGCCTGTGGCAAAGGTAGAAGAAGGCAAAAAAATCACCCATCTGCATTTCTTTGAACTGTGGATGACTTTTTCTTTGTAGGGGGGTGGGGAAACGCACAATTCAAATTTACATGTAAAAAGGGCATTATAAGTTCCCTCTTTCTTCACTTCTGTGTCCATAACATGGCACAATTTTGCAAGGTTTGGCTTCATTAATGGTTGAAGTCCCCAATTTTGCAAATTGTGCTCAGTGTCGGCGGAAGTTTTTTAAGTTTTGTTGAAAGCCTCAAAAACAGAACCAAGGTGTTGGAAATTTATTTGTCATGATGAGAAGTCCTCTGTTTTATATTACTTACATTTACTCATTTGTTACAGAGCAACTTTGCCAACGCAAGCAAGGCCTAAGGAAATGCCTGGTGCACCAGTGAGTATATGCCAGCTACATGTCGCATTTGTGAAATGTTTAAATCTTCATAGCTGTCTGACACAAAGCACATTTCCTTTAAAATATTAAGTAATACCTTTTTTTTGCATCACAGTGTCTTGTCCTGTTCTTACAAAGCATGTATTCTCTTTGCAGTTTCCCAAAATGGTTCATTATGTTATGCCATGCATTTTCTCTGTTATTTCACTTTTTTACTGAAGAATTTTGATGCCTTAACCATTTCCTGCCTGGGACACCAGATCGGGACACGTATGCTTTATATGCGTGGCCGGGGTCTCCGAACTCGGACAAAGGAAACAGGGCCTTGTAACAAAAGACCGTATTCCGAACAAAAGACCAAGCTGCTGGGTATTACCGACATTTTTTCACTCTCAAAATGCGAGATAATCCTGCCGTGTTTTGAAACAGTATACCATGGTTTGGGGCATTTAGAGCGAGCGGATTACCAGTGGGGACTAAAGCGATCCACCACCGCAGCGATGATCTACACAGCACCGCTGCCTGCTAATCTGGCCCCTATTGAAAAGAGGTCAGCAGTGCACTGAGCCAGGTTCGTGAACAAAAGAATATTACGTAACACCACAAAATCTGGGCTCTTTTTACAAGGTTGCAGGCCTGGCTGAAATACTCAGGCGTCTATAGAGTTTATCTGTCTGGCTAGAGTGGACACCAGACATGCCTTCACGTGTTTGTAAGTGTCCAGTAAATGAAGATAGGAATTTTTAAAGAATTTTAAAAACAGAAAAAAAATGATAAATATCCCGCCCTAGCATCATCGACATTGATAAATGCCCCGGTAGGAAGTGGTTAACCCTAACCCCCCAAGTGTTGCTGGCCCTAACCTTCCCCATTCACACAAAGTTAAACAACCATACGGGACTTTGTGCACAGATGCTGTTGGACTTTGTTTTTCTGAGGTATGCCAAACCCAATGTAAAAGCCAGCTGTTATGGGCCTACCAGACCTATCCCCACAGAATTAAACACTTTACTACTGTTTAATTCTGTGTGGTTTGGGAAGGTTAGGGTTAAAAGAAGTTTATGGTCTTACAAAAAAAAGCTGCAATACCATTGCATGGAGAAATGACATCATAGAAGAAAGTCACACAAAATTCACAATCAGAGTAAATTTGCTTTTAAGTTGACTTGATACTGAGGCTAAGAATACTTTGTGTGCGGAAATTGTATCGGTTCTCATTACATTCTGTTGCATATGTTCACTTTAATTTCAGAACAGGGGACCAACAGAGGCAAGAAATTTGGATCAGCGACAAAGACAAGCATTACAGGCAAGCAGAGACTGAACTGGGAACAGTTCTGTATAAAATTTGTTGTACATGTATGTCTGTAACAGAAATAACAGATTGTAACTCACTACAGCACAATGAGGAATGTTCCACAAATTGCATGACTTGTGGGTTTGAATTAAAGATCACATAAAGATGGGTATATTGTTACTGCTGACATGAGTGGTTTGATTTTTCAAAGAAAAGAGAAATAAATTTTACAATAAAACATTCTTATGTCTGCGGGGTCTGGTTTTAATTGTCCTTGACTGATCCATTTGGCCAGGTGTTTTCACTTCTTATGTATTCATACTTACTTGCATGTTCTTATGCTGCAGTTACTTATCAAAATTAGTGTGTGGTATCCGCACTTATCCTCAGTTGTGCGTTCACTTTGAGATAAGCTACTCGCGCAAAAACTCAACTGAAATACACAGAGCTTGCACATATTATTAAAATGGGGCCTTTTGATTGGACAGCGGTGTTGTCAATTGTCAGACAATTGTTTGTCACAAATGCTGGTGTTAAAGAACAGCGTATTTTGTCGGTTGATGCTTGACACGCGTGAACATTCGGATAAGCAGCATTGTGACATGAGATGGAAGCGTTATCACTACTTGCAGAGCTGCTCTGCAAATAGTGTGTGTGGCAGTCGCGGACTTCCTTGAGACATAAAGGAAAGAGGAAGAAGACAAGCTTTTTCCTTGCAGATGGCAAGAACGACAGCAGAGCCAGCACCAGGCGACGGCGGTGAGGAATCGGAAGGCGGAGCTGTGACCGATGACCCCGACCTCGAGCTGCAGAAAGCGCGTAATTTTGACTGCGGCTGCCAGTCCGTCAACAAAGTGGCTTGCATTCGTCAGTTTGCCCCTGAGGAGATTGTCCGCATCAGGTTAGACTTGCGGGAACTGACATCAGGTAACATCAAAAATGTAGTCAGCAAGTATAACTGTGTATTTGTGAAGCTACCTTAAATCGACTTTTTTTACAAAATGTTCTCTGAAATGTTCATTTTTTTCTAGTAATCCTTCCTCAGACCGCTTTCATTAGTATTTAATAACATATATTGTCTGTCAAAATGCTCATCATTTGAAGTGCCTTTCTTAGGTCTTAAATCTCCAGTGTCTTACCCTCAGCTAAGAAGAAAATAACTCTTGAAACAGATACAGCATTGCAAAATGAAGCTTTTGTCCCAGACTTACCAATTTTATGAATTTTCACTCAGGCCTATTTATTGTGAGCAAAGTTGAATGAAATCTGTCTCAATGACTGTCTGACATTGACTTAATGTCAACTTCAAGTTCTCAGTTGTAGTGCATATGGATGAGCTCAAAAGGTCACATATAAGTGGTCACGGAAATGAACATTTCCTTCTGCACAGGGGAGAAAGACCTGATCCTTCTAGGAATACTTCACACGTCGATGAACACCAGTAAGACCATCCAGCCCAAAGGCCCCAAAAGGAAGGAGTTGAAAGAGCGCACTCGCGCAAGAAGTACTTACAGCATCCACTCCAAGCGAGTGTGCACCGCCGCCTTTAGATATATCCATGCGTGAGTGCCTGTTGGCAGACTTTTCAAAAATTGTAGGCGAGGGGCTGGGGATACAGTTTGTTTCAGTTTAATGGTAGACACTATGGGGAAGACTGAAGAACATTTAAGTCTCTCACAAACCCGTAGGTGTGCAGCATACCCATGTGTAGATCTGGTAAAGTAGTTCTTTCATGGAGTCCATACCACGTCTGAGTAATTTCCAAAATGTAGAAGCTTCGTGTGTGGAGTGACTAGAATCTGTAAAGAAAACAATTAGTCAGCGTCAGTTATATTGGGATAAATGGTTTAGTCCTGCCTGTCTGATTTTTTGTTCCACCTTGCATTTTTCACCTTATACTGTATCCATTAGCTTTTAAAACAGTGCACAAATGCACAGGTGGTGTATTTGAGGATAGTGAAATACTTGTTTGGCTCTAAATATTATAAAAGAGCGGCTGTTGTAAAAGTTGTGATCATCTTCATCCAAGATGTGTATTAGAATTTAGATGCTGTGCAGCCAAGCAACCGTAAAAGAAATTAGGCAGTTACACTACATATTATTGGTTTTAGGCTTAAGCATGGTGTAGAGTTATACCAAGTTTCGTGAAATTGGCTGCTGCAGTTCTAAAGACAGTGTTGAAACTGCTATTTGTCTTGATGCTCAATTGCTTATCTGTTGATTTTTCTGTTTCCACAGAGTCAGCAGGAACAAACTGAGTGCCGTGCAACAGTGGTACAGGGAGCAGGGTCTGACGCCACGTCGGAAAAAATCCGGCGGCCGGGTGGAGAGTAAACGCACCCTCAAGTTTGAGGACACCAGCCGGACGGTTCATTTCATCCGCAACTTTGCAGAGGAGCACGCACTGGCCTTCCCGGGGCGGGTCCAGGGTGCCAAGAAGGCCGCTGACCGTCGCGTGTTGCCCCCGACGTTCACCAAGTCGGGCATCTGGCGGAACTACTACAAACCGAGTATGAGTGCCCAAGGTGCGATTCACGAGTAAAGCTGTGGAGTTGTCAAGTCTCTGCATCTTGTAAAACAAAAGCACAATCATAAATACTTCTGTTATTAATATGGAAGTATTGATCAAAAGGGCAAGTGTATAATGGGAGAGTTTTCACCATATGAAAAGAGTGAAATATGTTTAACACAAAAAAATTGCCAAGGGAAATGGGTTACCCGGTAAAAAATCATGCAGTGCCTTGTTCTCAGGTACTTTTGTTTAGCACTTTATTTTACCTGAAAGAACAAACACAAGAATTTAGTTGAAATGACTGTGAAGAGATGAGATATGGCAAAAACACAGGGTTCAGTTTTTGAAGTGGTAAGAAAATCCATTGCAATCACATCTGTGCTGTTCGGACTGACACCCCAATCGATATGAGCGACCTGGGTGGGATTCGAACCCAGAGTCACAGAGGTGGAAGGCGAGGAGAGCATCATTTCATCAGTCTGGCTGGATTGTCATTGTCTGATTTATTCCACCTTCGGAGCTCAGTCAAACTTGCGGATATATCGCCTGTTTTTGTGTGTTGCAGGCTACAGGGTGGCCCAGCTCAGCACCTTCAGGAAGCTGTGGCAACAGCTCTGTCCCAACATCGTCTTCAAGAAGGCAGCCAAGAAAGAGAAGCCTGTCCTCCTAACCACTTCGCAAAACTGACGTGTCATACGAGCCAGCAGGGTGCAATGTCTAACTTGGTTGCGACCTCGGACTTCATCAGTTGCTGAAAAAAAGGAGACCCCGAGTTGCTTTTTTTTGTAACAATTGACTGTTGGCTGTGGTTACAAAGTAAAGCTGATGTCTTGCTGTTAGCCCAGTGGGAGATGTTCTTGGATTGTTACCATTCTGCGATGAAATTGGCTCTCAGGCTGTGTCAGAATTACTCGGCTGCAGCTTAATACTACACAACTTTATGGGAAGTGGCTCTCAGCCACAACCATGCACTCATGCATAATTTCAACCAAGTAGTTCAGACATGGCCTGGCATTTGCAGTCGGTTGTCTCCTGGTCAACATTTAACATGTACAGGGTGGAGTGTAAATAATTGGAGTTGAGTTTGATAAGGTCCAATCAGTAGGCATTGATTTAGCTCATGACCAGACGAAGTGAAAGTAGGCAAGTGTTTGGTTACCAATCATATGCCTGACATTGTAAACTAGACAGTCGAGGCTTATTTTCACGCAAGGTAATCATGAATTTTTTGTCTGAGGTATGATGCTAATGACCTATGTCATTTATGGTTTTTATTGTACGATGTGTTTCCCCATGTTTTTCTCAGACTTGTTGCCCTTTATCAAAAAGTTTGCCAATGGTGGACGTACGTCAGGTCACATGGGGCAGTGAGAACGCCTTGTCTGCGAGATAGCAGACACTGCCAATAGCTCAACTCTCAAAAGTGCTTTTAGTTGTCAGTCATCTACTTTATTGCTTAAAGCTACCACTTTCTTTGGTGATTCACACAGAAATATGGTAGCCATAAGCAATTTGAAAATGTTTAAAAATCTAAACAGGAAAGGAAGTATTATTTAATCCATTTGAGGTCTGTACATGTATATGCATTTCCTTTGTGTTTGTCAATGTTGCCATTTGCCCTTTTTCTCATCAAGAGTTGCCAAAATTAAATCAGTGTTGGATTTCGTTCACAAGAAAATTGTGCGGTGTCCTTGTAAGTTTCTTGATAAGCTCTTTCCTGCGGAGTTGTTCTGCAGTTGTCATAGGAAAGGGACTGTGAATGAGGTGCCATGTGATGCATCGGCATGTGTTGATTCTTTCCCAGAAGCAGCTCAGAAATACTTCTCTGTGGTGTGTTTCCCCTACTGTGACATTTAACAGGAACAGATGCCCCACAAATGTGGCGGTAGTGTGAATAAATACATCCGTATTTATGAGCTGTGTGGTTGGTTTATCCATCATGGGAAGGCTTGTGGTTGTGTAATTACTGTGTAGAACTCTTCAGCAGAACAAGGGTTTGGACCCTGTCTGGGTGTCAGAGTGCTGGTGTCCCTGAGCAAGGTACTTGACCACAACTATTTTGCTCAATCTAGGGATGTAGATGTGGAACATTTCAGATAATAGGCACTGTGTTGCACTCTAAATATAAAGTGGAGGCCCTTATTAAAACTTTTTCCTCATTGTGCTGTTGTGAGTCACAATTCTGCTTGTATTCTTTTTGAAATTGCATGGTTGTACTCAATGACTCACCAACTTGACTAAATACTAACCTGTTTCTGTGTGTTCTTAACCCAACAATCACAAGAACTCTGACGGTGGAAAGGTTCTTTCCTCATAGTGAATTCAGAGCTTACCACTGTGAACACATTGATTCTGAAATGATCAATGATATTCTAGCGCTTAAATTAATTAGTTTGTTTTTATCTTTCAGCATGCACACTCCACGTCCTCTGCCTACTTCATCACTCAGGATTCCTCCTTTGGAAATCTCATTCTGCCGGTGTTTCCCAGGGTTCCTGCAGACTGAGAGAGACTGACACTTAGCAACTCAGATCAGACAAGAACCTATTACGTGAAAAGTCACTAGCATTCATTGAAATGAATATGGGACGGTTTGAGCCGGTCAGGTAGAACTTTGGAAGTGTGCGAAAGTGCAAAGCAGGAGGTTCAAACTTGCCTGAGAAAAGACTTAACAGTTTGTTTTCAAAACCTGCAATACCAGGATTTAGAACGGCTTGATGAAATTCAGTTTTGTAAGGTTGACAAGTGGTTTTCCAACAGTGAACTGGAAACATTCTTTTGTAACACATGTTACGCCTCACTGTGGAGGATATTCAGCTGTCATTTCCATCGCAAATGTTTATATATTTTTCAACTTCAGTGCTGCTTATCTCAGAACTTGATTTCCAGAATTTACTTGAACCAGTATGCTTTTGCATGAGCACGTAGGGTGCTGTTAACCCTGTAGAGACTACTGAATCAAATGTGTACTGACCCTCTTTTAAACTGGAAGATTTCTAACTGAATTCTGGGTCATTCAAGGCTCCCCCCAACACACGTGTAAGTGGTACTGGTGAAGCACTGGGCAGTTTTGCAGCTATTGCATAGACAAAAATCAGATTTTGAATTTGTGGAGTACCAAAGCTGGTGGAATGCTTGCACTATTGCTGTGGATCTTTTCAGAATGATTACTTGCCAAGATTTGTTTCTGTATGAAGTTGCTTTAGGACACCATTGCCTGCTGGTTTATTTTTAGGGGATTGGGTGGCGAGTGAAAGATTAGTGAGGGATTTGGAAAGGCATGGTACACAAGCGGCAATAAAGATAGAGTGGCTCCATCATTGTTTTGTGGTTGCTGTTTAGTACAGTCTGTCATCTTGTACATTTCGCTCTTTTGAAGCAACGAACACGCTCCAAATTTAAAGAAAGGTGCTTTACAATAACCTTGTGATGTCAGAGGTCAGAGAATGCTCTGTATGCTGAGAAAAGCAATATTTTAGCATCTCAATTTCAAATGCAAAAGTTGCACATAAAGCACCAGCTGGCTGTGCGCTACCGCAAGCTATACGGGCCGCATGGGTGCACTAATGTTCATCCACTGAGAATGTTTACGACTACTCTTGAGAGGAACACAACATGGATTAAGGGGTGTTTGAAACAAATTAAGTGAAACGTTTCAAGAAAAACTTTGGAAATTCATAATTTTTAAACTTGTTTTGACTGTAGTGTGTGACTTGAAGGGTATTTACGAAGGGGAAGAAATGTGCTTGGCCGGTAACATTTAAGACTTTCAGGGGAATGGACACTAATAATGTAACTTGCCTTCGCCTTCGGCATTAACACCGTCCATTCTTCTGAGCTGGTCATAAATGAACAACTGGCCAAGCACTTTTTTCTCCCCATATAAATAAGGGGGATTGTGTAAAATGCACTTGTAATATTTGGGCTGAAAGTCATGACAAACAACAAGAGACCAAGTTGGGTGGTTCATGCTGTGTGAATATATTTTTTTTTTCTTTCCAATTTTTTTTTTTTCTTTTTTTTTTCTTTCTTCTGAGTGAATCAGTGTGACAGGAACACCATATTAACAGGTCACACAATGCTACACCGTAAGGATACACACTTGATGCTTTGCATCACCCACCAATATTTTCTTGACTGCTCCAACTGTACAGATACCTTCGCTTCACTTTCAACCAGTCTTGTTTCAGTACAATGCCAAGACAAGGCAGCTATACATGCTGCATATACGTGGGTACTGCATTTGACGCACAGGTTACTTTGAATGTGTATATGCTCTGGGATTTTAAAGAACAAATCACTTGGGTTCCTGTTACAATATTTGGGAATGTGGTGTGTTTTGGTTAGTGAACAAGCGTCTACCATTACCTACACATTACACAATACATGTATTCTACCGTAACTTGTTAGTGTACAACTGTAGCCACGGGTCTTTCAACAAACCTAAATCTGCCATTTCGAACATGTTGGATGACCACATCGCTATTTACACGGAAAATTAAGAATTGCATGGACCAACCAGGGCACGGCACCAAGCCATCCCCCAGCATGGAACCACCAAAACCGAGTGATTTTTGTACAATAGACAGCACAAAGCTTGGGCCATTACCAAAGGCTGCTGGAGTGTTATGTACAGTGCTTTTATCCAAACTTTGGTCTAGATTGTCTCATTTTGGTTTTGTTGGCCAGATTACGGCTGGATGAATGTCCGTGCTTACGATTTCAGCCTGGAGTCCAGTCTCAGGCCAAGGCTGGATCCAAAGGCACTGCTTACAGGCCAGTTCATACTTTGCACGCGAGTGAACACAAATGCCGATTTGTGACGTCTTATCAACTATTCGCTCTGTCAATTTGCAAACCTTGAACACATTTCAACTCAAGCAAAATTTTGCTACAAATCTTTCATTACATCAAATTTGCTTTGATTTCACATTCACCCGTAGTGAGAACTGGCCTTGAGTCTGGTCTTGTGGCTCATTTTTCTAAGTTGCGGATCTCCATGAGCATCAGAGCTGTTTTCTGAATGCGATTCCTGGGACTTGGACCGAAACTTGACAACAGCACTACTTCCAAGCACTTTTCTCCCCAGTGGAGTTCATGACACCAAATAGGTGGCAGACTCTGAACTTACGATAATTGACTGATTCCGCCCCTTAAGTCACGTGACCTATAGCGGGTATAAAATATCAACCAACGTGGCATCCTCCCATCGCAGTGTGTGTTTTAAGTGTTGTTTACCAAAATAAAGCCGATTACTCAGCACATCAGTAGTCTGAGTACTTTACCGACTGTTGCGGGGGGGGGTTAAATGACACTCATGACAAACTTTGCTATAGGGGACACCCATATTTGTTGATGTTTGACACCCATTATAGATCAAATGACTTTCTGGACGCAATCGATCTATTAAAATTCTTTCCGCATCCTCAATGAAGATTGTTTCGACTAAGTCTAAGCCCAAATTCCCTTGGTTAAGTCGGAATTGATTCAGAACCACCATGTTACAAAAAAAAACGTAAATTCTACACAGCTGCTTGTGAACAGTAAATAAAGTTTCTCTAGTATGCAAAACCAAAGAAAATATCCGACACAATATGAGCACTTCAGACCCTTTTTACACGTACGTACATGTACCCCCATATTTACACACACACACACACTAATGCCTTTGGCCAAGTCTTTAATTCTAAATGCTGTAGTCTGCCCGGGACTGTCCAAAAAAGCCCGGTGCCAACATTTGTGATTCTTTCCAGTATGAGCTTCAACATGGGTGTATCAGGGAACTGGAGAAAATATTTCCCAAGAAGCAACGCAAAGTAATATAAAGAAGGAAATCTTTTGTAACATGAATTCTACTACTTTCTTAACTGTAGTAATTGCATTCAAAATAGTTTTCGTATTTTTTCCCTTTCATGTTTAGCAACCCCGCCACAAAAAAAACTTTTTCCCTTTCAAAAATGGGAATAACAGGGTTGACTTTCTGAAATAGATATTTACACTGTGTGCATTTTGATATACAAGATCTCTCAACCTCTAAAAAATGTCCTTTCATTTTTGTAAAATTGCAATCAAGTACTCTCTGAACTTCCAACAAAATATGCATTATTTCAAAGCAAAAAAAATGAAACAAAAATTCTGAATTTTCTGATCAAAGTTTGACATTTAGTTAAAAAAAATAAGTACCGTTGAAATAGAAACATTTACACATAAGCACTTCTTCGAAAAAAATTCCTTGTATTTAAACTCGCAATGGTGGAGATTATATTGAAGTGGACCTACAACAGGCTCAGTGACCAGGCACCTCTCCAAAGTGAGAAAAAGACAACAGGCAACCGAGTGGCATTGGTGCCAAGTGCCCGGCACCCATGCGACGATGTTTTGTTTACATTCTGACGAAAAAGTAGTTGTGTGTGCTTCTGCACGATATGCGCATACATCTAGTCTGTTGCACAAAGTGGTGCTCTTACTGCCATTTGCCGTGTTAAAAAGGCCTACTGATTCTTTCGTTCTGTTGAAAGTTTTCCCGTCAGCATAACAAAATGTTTTGCAATATTTCCCACTTGGCAGCTAGGGTATTTTGAAGCTTCCATGTGCAATCATCCTTGGTGCATTTACAATTTTCATATAGCTCTAAATTGGTCTCTATAAAATATTAAATTAAAAACAGATAATTTTTTTCAGCAACTGTTCGACAGTCTTGAGAAATCTTTTAGTGTGAAATTCATGGGTGAACTGTGCACCACACAGAGCAATTTCATTAACAGGCTGAGCACACAAAGAAATTGCTTAACACGAGTGGGTTACCAACCAAAATGGCACACAGTGTATCTTGCTCATGGCTGGTTCCACCAAATACGCATATATGCTTGCTTGACAGCTTTGGGAAGTAAATTTTATCAGTCATTGACTTCTGCTAGCCAGCAGCTTTGCAAAGTGTTGGGCATGATGGCACATCATCTTCGTGTCAAGCCACCTTGACACCAAAACCCTGGTTCACACCAAGCAGGGGACTTTTAAAAGACAGTCTGTTCCCCCTCCCCCCCCCTCCACAAATAGCACATGTGCAAGGCAGCCCTTCCAAAAGACTCCAGAGATTCTCAGATCCCCACTTTCTTTGAATGGTAGTGTCTATGTTTGGGTAGATGCATATACTTGGACAACAAGTTTGGTACAGCCAACTGCTTTGAAACAATTTCTAAACTCCAGAAGGTTAAACACTACAACATACTCAAATATCCAGCTTAACATTTCATATATAAAAACACAAAAATAGTCAAATCCTTTCTCTTGTAAACCTATCATATATAATATAAAGGGTGGTACCAATCTGCAATGGTTTTTGTACAACAGGGCTAAATTCTCAAACATAGAACAGCAACATTTTTCTTATTTTTTGTCTTACCGTATTATATACACACACCAAATACATTGCTCTTGAAAATGCACACGTACATATACCACTCAAATGAACAACAAAAGAGAAGAAAAAACCTATACAATCACATATCTTTACACAAATTTCCATCAATGGAAATGCACACAACTCATTAGTTAACAAACGGTATTACATCGGGTAAAAATCAAAACAGCAACTTTCTTTACCTTTTTATATGTATTTACAGTTTTCATTTGTACAATTATACAGTCATGTTCCATCTTTACAACTATCAGACAAAGTATTCTCATGCATAATAATGTACAAAATGTATATCAACACTAGACAGGATTTTTCTTCACTGAACATTAAACGTGCTCAACAAACAAGCAAGGGATCTTTGTAGTGATAAAGCCACTAACGGAAGGGGGTGAAAACGTCCTTTCCAGCATTTTTAAAGTACAAACACGTTTTGGATAAACAGGACCTCTGTAACTGATTTATTCAGAACATCTGCAGAGAGAACAGGAAAAGACTTGATTTCTTCTCGGAAGAGAGACAAACACAAATTTCTTATGAATTCATAGGATATTTCATGTGTTCTCCCTTCACAATCATGAACAAAACTGAACCCTCCTTTCTCTACGGCACCACCTCTCAAGTAGTCTCGCTACCTCCACCTTAAGCAAATTTGAATCCTCAATGGTGATTGGTCAAACCACATAGCAACAGCCACTTGATACCAGCCCATCAGAATTACTCCGAATAATCCGGATCCAAGATGTCACCTGCGGGTACTGAAATGTCTCTCCATTTTCCGTAAAGAATGACATATCTTCTCTTCTTCTTGAACGCACTGTTCTCTCAAAAAGGTTCTCTTTTCATTAAAAGGCAATGCAACACAGTTCTGAGACCATTGTTACAAATACAATGAACCAGCATGAAACTTACTGCTTGCAATCTTGGCAGACTGGAAATACATGTACATTTTTGAATGACAGACACAGCTAAGCTCGTGAAGACAAGTACCCATTTGCTTGCAAATTTTCATTGCTTGCCATACATGTACATTAGTACTTTGCCAACCCAGTCAAAAAAAGAGAGTCCATTCAGTTCTGAGATAAGGCAAATGGTCATTCCTCGTGACAGTGTTTCCTGATAGGAGACAGAACAGAAATGAAACAGCACATTTCTTTTCGACGTGTGCTTCAGCATCCAACAACGGGACAAGCTGGTACTTTTGTTTTGGTGACAACCACAGGCTCAATGTACCCTTTGTTGAAAAACATTCTCTAAAAATTCTACTGATCAAAGCCATGTAAATTTACCACAGATTTTTTTTTCGTTGTTGCAAAAAAAAGATGCCAACCTTCCCAAGCATTTTTGATGGTTCAAAAATTCACTCCAAGTCAAAAGACTTTATTCTCATACCAGAGTAGAAATCGCAAGCATTGTGGACTCTACACGTAAAATACCGGTGCAGGGCTTGTCCTCGAACAGTCCTAGTTTTAATGAAGATGAAAACTTGGCACACAAAAGGCATATTGTATTCACAATTTGTGTGAGGGTTTTGTGACCTTGTGTTTATTTTTCACTCCTTGTTGCAAGTTTATATTGCAACAGTATTTACATTGCATATTGATGAATTTATGGCTTAAACCAGCATGCCATCTTGAGCCTGGTGCAGGCTTGAGAATGTGAAACTAAGCTGTCACGCAAAAAGCACCTACATGTATTTGCACTTAGAACTTTCAAAAGCTGTGACCCCAAAAAGGAAAAGAGAAATCTTTTCCCACAAATATCAAATTCCCCTTTGCATACCCCTTATGTTTAAAAGTACCACTTTTTAAAACGGACCAATATACCTCTTAAATAGCCATTTTTCTTTGGAAATTCCCAAGCAAGGAATTCCTAGTAAGAAAAGCATGTAACGTTTTTGGTTTCCGAGTCAAGCAAATTTTCATCAGTATGGGTACAAAAATTGCACTCAAACATCGAGTACCAGTACTGCAACACTGACTGTAATGGCTTTTGTCAGCCATAATAAAATCTATGCGTAGCCCAGCAACTGTTAAAAATGTATTTCATGAATGTTTAGACTTCAGTCAAGTTCGTTCAGAACGGGACACAAGGTGTTTGGCGACCACCTCTTCATCCGAAGACAGCAGATATCCCGAAGTGGCCAGAGGATGCCTCCTCTTGAAAAAGTTGGTTGTAAAACAAGGGGAAGTGGAAAACACCCTCCCCTCCTCCCTTGTTCTCTCGGTGGTCTCCCGACCCGGCTACATCTGCTTGCAGGAGGCACTCAGCTTCCTTGGTTTCCGTGACGATTTCTTCTTCTTCTCCTCCACCTCTGGCATGATGGGTTCTGGCGCTGAAATTCTGGTGGCCTGTTCCTCGGGCAACTCTGTTCCAATGGAAAAGATGAAGATTAAAAAGTGAATGGTCCAGTATGAAAAACAAAAAACAGGATATTTTGACGATTCTTAGTCGTTTAAATGACACAAGGATCAAAATCCCAGGGATCGAATGGTTTACTACATCAGTTATCACTGGATTCAAATATGGCTGGATCAACTTTAAAAAAACACAGAGCCAGAACTTTTTTTGTTGTGTACCATAGTCTCTCCACATTACATTCAAATCACACACTCATCACTAGTCAGTCACAAGTCAACCAACCGCAAGTCAAATCACATGTCAATCACAAGGTAGTCACAAGACCATCACAGGCCCATCACAAGTCCATTACAAATCATCCAAAGTCAATCATAAGCCAATCAACAGTATGGGACTGGTCATAATCACAAATCTGTTACAAGAACATCAAAATCAAACTACAAGTCTATCAAAATCCAATCACAATTTCATCACAAGTCAAAATAAGGTCAATACAAGTCAATTACAAGTCTATCATGAGCCAGTCAAATCATAAGTTAATCACAATCCAATCCCAATTTAATCACAAGCCAATCACAAGCTAATCAAAAGTTAATCACAAGCCAATCACAAGCTAATCACAAGTTAATTGCAAGCCGATCAAGTTAATCACAAGCCAATCACAAGTTAATCACAAGTCAATCACAAGCCACAGGTAAATTACTAGTCAACCAAAATTCACAAAATTAAATCACAGGCCAATTACAAGCTAATCACAAGTTCAGAAGTCAATCATAAGCTAAATACAACCCAATTCCAATCAGTCACAAGGCCAAAATAAGCCAATCACCTGTGCTGTGCGGCCGACTGGTATCTTCAATGTATTGCTGGTAGTCATCGTGGTATTCGTCCTCCACGTAACTTACATCTTCCGATATCGTCGGGTCAAACATCTCAACCAGGTAAGGTAGGCAGGTCATCCGGCGAACATGGTCATTGCTGTCAGGGAGAGGGGGCAGGGGCACACCCTCTCCTTCCCTGGGATACGTTTTTTGTACCCATCTGTGTGAAAAAAAGGAACAAATCCTTCCATTTAAATCAGGGGTTTAGATAACATGCATATTGGCGTATGAACGCTTCCAAACTTGGAAATTTAGTAAAAATACGCAACATAAAACCTCACGCAGAATGTAAAATACAGTGATTTCTACTGTAGAAATAGTACCATAAGTTTCTGTATTTTTTGTGTTTCGTCAATTACGCCCAACCCAACAGCGTAACATTCGTAGCAGACGCTACAGAAACTTATTTGTTCATGTTTGTCTGCGTACAACTTTTCCCACTGCTCCATGCATAACCATGATAAATTATTCAGAAAATTCTGAAATGACGGGAAAGACCCAGCCCGAAGCAAAACGTATTGTAGACTGAAATGGGTTACTGCGCGGGTATTGTGTGCATGGATGTCACCAGGCTCCCCGAAGATACGATGCTGTAAGATTTATTTGTAGCCTGCGGGGACCACACTATTTTCATTGACTTTTGCACAAATGGATAGGGTTTGAGTCGCCTAAATTCCTCATTGAAAGTTCGGCGAAAAAATGTGCAGTTTTCTACTAGTTCTGATCCGCTACACACGGGCATTTTTTCAAGTGGCATTTTAGAGGCTTTCTGGTATATCTGCAAGAAACCAGGAATCATTTTTGGAAAATTTGTGTCTGAAAAGGTTTAGATCATGAGTGTGGGCGCATTTCACCGCCGAGCGATGAAGTGCACCGTGATTTTCTGAGTGGGTATCGCCGGGCGTGTGCGCACAGCGGCCGGTCAACATGGCATCCATGCCCGGTAGCCTCGCACATGCCGCCATACACGGGTGGATACGGATATGGTGTCATGAGTTCATGGTTATCACTAAGTGCTATTTTTTTACTGTGTTTTTCAAAAGAAAAACAAGTTTTATTATATTTACTAAGGCAAAAAGACTATAAACTTGCATAATATTGGTAATCAGTTCCTCCACCTTTTAGGGAGTACAGTACTCTCCCTCTCAGGAAGAAGAGTACAATACCAAACAATACTCAAGGCAAAAGAGAACTGTTCTCTACTCTAAGCAAGGAAGTGGATATTTTACTCATGACTTGAAGAAAATTATCTAAACCCCTGTTAAATACAACACTTGCTCACTTTTAAAAAATCAACATAAACAGGAGACAATTATTAACCCCTTCGCACGAGGTGGCAGCTGTAGCTGCCGTAAAAAGTGAGATCCTCAGCCCGCTTTTCAGCTATTATTCTGGGCCCACGCTCGAGCGAACATGGTGAAAGAAGGCAGACCCCGGCTGTTGTACATATCGTAATTGGTCTTTGTGAGTAGCCCAGAAATGAAAAGACCGATTTTGCATCATAATCACCAGCTTCACAATAGTCCCCACTTTGAAAAGAGGGAACGGGAATGTGGAAGGGTGAGCGGAGCCCCATGCCACTGAACAATCAGCCTTTTCACCGTGTAATTCAAAGTGTGCAGAGCACGCAGGGCCACAAACCGAGAATTTGCGGTTTGGCAGGTGGCCTTCGTGGCCAAGTGAGGCTGGAATTCTTGGAGTCGGCTTTCAGGAAGAAATTCCCGTCGTCAAGGGGTTAACAACAGAACACTTTAATTCTATTTCATCTTATATATTAAAGGGAACAGGGCCTTCATTTACTTGTTCTAGAGTTCACTGAAACATTCAAATGGCACCTTCCTCCTTGAGTTTACACCCTGTTTAACTTAATGATCTATTTTTCCACAACTATTTGCACAAACATACATGTACATGTAGATACATCCCTCTCATGTTGATGTGTCAAGCAAAAACACGTATCAGCATCTGCATTAACTATCACATGACGTACAACAAACTGGCCTCAACAGGGGATTCCGAACATACATGTATTTATGAGGAGGTGATTTTTTTTTACACTGAAAGCTTTGTCCTTACAACACTGAGTGCACAGTGTTATAAATTTACATGTACACCTTGGCGAAGGGCAGCACTCCCAATGTAAAACTTCATTTATCTCCCTGATGCAAAAATCACATCTCAAAAATGTCTGGTGCACTACCTGCTGCTCACTGAAACTCACACTGAGCAGCCAACCCCTGTGGCAAGCTCAGTTGTCGAGTGGTAAGACATCACCACTAATAAGCAGAAGGTCGTAGTTATGGTAAATGTACGAGTCCCAGCCGAGTAAGCTTGCGAATTTTTTCACAAGCCCTAGGACAACACCAAGTATAGTGTATTATAAGTGAAACTTGCAATACAAAAAACATACATGCTTCCACAGTTGCATCTTGTTGGCACTTTCTCACGTACTCGCGACCAACCAAAACCAAGACCAAGCCCTGAGCACAAGATCTGGCGGCAGTTTCATACTCACTTGTGATTTCTAACTCCTTGCGTATTGAGCCTCTCCTCAGGGTCTTTCTTCAGCATGCCTATTATTTACAAGAACACAAACATGAAATGTGCCACTATGCTGAATCTCATTTAAGGTTCCAAGGGTTCCCAGAATGTCCAGCCAACGTTGTGACCCCTCCAAAATAGTGACAGATTGTTAACCAATGAAACCAAGGATTCCCTCCAAAGTGCCCTGGTCACTTTAACTTCCGAGCCTGGAGAAACCTGCCTAAACAAGAACATGGGGAGGTGTTTTAGAGTTGAGAGGAAAACCCCAGACGAACTGTCTAGGTATTAAATCCCATGGAATCAGGTAGGGACTAAAAACCCAATTCTACATACATGTACATGTATGGACCTGTGTGGGAATTGTACCTGAACACCAGAGGTCAAAGGCAAAGCAAGAACCAATGCGCACACCTCGACCCCTTTAGCCTGATGACTTGCGTACAAGGCCAGTGAGGACTGTTTGTAAGGGAACTACCGGTAGACCAACTTGAATGTGTGTATGCTACATCAGGAATTCAACTTTTGAATTGGTTTAAAGAGGATGTTATTTTTGCTTTCCCTTACGTGTTAGACAGTCAACCAGTGAAATCAGTGTACTGACTAAAAATCTTTGTTACACACAGCATTGCTATAACATAGTTTGAGGAGTAGTTAGTGGTCCAAAGAAACCACTAAGTGAACTTTCACGTTGACCAATTTGACTAAGCAGTCTGATCCATCAACTCTGGAGGGACTATCGTGTAAATTTCTGCTCATTTTTCAAAATTTTTTCTCCGATAACTGTCAAAGTTTCAAGGTTTCTCAGCTAATCCATACCCTGTTGCCACCATTTTGTATGTACACCAATGCATGCCTTGCAGCTGGGATTCAAGCACTCAATCTTTTCTTATAACGAGTAAATGGATAACCGTACAGGCGAACAAGGAGTTTGACATCTGTTGACTTCTCAGCATAAGGGAACTTCGATGGCCAATGAAACGAACAGACAGGCTCATCAATATGCAAAATGGCTACATACCACTGAGCAGATCGGCAAGAAGCGGCGAGATGTCTTCAGGCATCTTGAAGTGGCCCTTCCCAATGTTCTCAAACAGTCGGTAGATGTTGTCGCCTTCAAAAGGGAATGTACCAGTGATGATATTGAACCTGTAGGAGAAATAAGAAAAAAGTTGTTTAAAATCAACATGGCTTTGTCTGAACTATCTTGAATCCATCAGGCTCCAGTTTTAGGTTGTGTCTGATATTGATGGATGTACACCAAAGGCTCTGATTTTTTCAATCGACATGACTTCCAAATTTTGTCAAAGAATAAAGAATGTACCCAAGTTTTGTGAGTTGGTCCCTTGAAAAGGTGTCCCAGTAGCAAGATTTAGGCATCTAGTGAAAATATGGTGCTGTCTCAGATTACAGTAGATGTTTCGCTTGCTATCTTTGCATCCAGTGCACGCAAGCACCTACTTCAGCCTCGCGGGAGCAGCGTCAGAGCAAAGCCTGGCCGCCACAACTGCAGGATCAACTACAGTAGGCTGGCAGTCTGGGAACCAAACCAGAAAGTTTTTATACACAACTAAAAAGTACTGACTTGTGAAATGCCGACCAATGCCTGGGATGTACTTGCTCATAAATACGTATGAGATGGACCAAATCTCCAAAGAACCTTCAACATTAACCAGGAGGTTTGGAGGAATTTTGCAAGACTGAGGAGGGCAGAGTTTGACCATTCACTCATACTGCATAAAACTTCAACTGCAATGAACTTCCCCTTGGGTTCCTGCATGGTGGTGATGCTGATTGGAACATGTTGGAAACCTCAGGAAGATTGCTGGCAAAAATGCCTCTCAATTAAAGGTTTAAAAACTTGAGAGTAGTTTTTAGGCAAGGCCTACTCACAGTGTTATACCCGACGACCAGACATCCACCTTGAACCCTGAGAATGATTCCAGTCCATTAGCAATCTCCGGGGGTTGGAAGGCTGGTGAACCCTGGCTCGTCCGACATGTGTCATCTTCGGAGTACAGGTCCAGCAGCTGGGGAAATAACATGGGAAAAGACGGAGAAGTGAAGCGACACATAGACTCAATAACAAATTGTGGCCAATGCCAATTGAAAACATATTCAAGTAAAATGACAAGCCTGACATTGTGTTTTTCTTTTACCGAATAAATTTGTCTAAACCTCTCTGCCATTTGAGGGCACTGTAATACATTCAATGCATTTTGTTTTGTTAGCCAGTCTCCTTCTGACAAGTGTTGCCCCTTCCCAACTTGGAAGGTGCCGTGGCCCCTTCCTGGTAACAGGATGAAATCGCCGTCAGCGTTTACGAATGATCTCCCCATGGACAGGTAGTGAAATGACTGCTGATGCTGCCTAAGATGCTGTGCCCCGCTTCAGAGTAACTCACCTCAGCCACACCCAGATCTGAGATCTTGAGGGTCCCCGAGGTGGTGAGGAGCAGGTTGCTGGGTTTGATGTCTTTGTGTACGATGCCCTGGCTGTGGATGTATTCAAGGCCATTGGCGAGCTGCACAAAATATCTGCACCAGATAACGGCAAAGAATTGGGAGACAAAGCACAAGAAATTAGGACTTGGGATTTACAAACTTGCAGTTCGTTCTACATTGAGATCAGCTTTTGATTGGTCACATACATGTACCAAGGTCACATGACAACACACTATCTTGGTTTAAATGACACAAGCATAAAGCTCAGAGGACAAACATCAACAGGATCCTGCTTCAGGGACTTTGTCTTTACATTTACATGTACATTTCCTATGGACATTTTGTTCAACCTCATCTGCTTTCCGTCGGACAAATAGCAAAAGTGGTCAGTAATCTGCCCTGTCCAACTGAAATTTGATAATCTGGACTTGGGCCAGTAAACCAGCAAAAGTGACTTAAAAACTATACGTACAAGTTAATCCTTATGCCTTTGGGTGTGTGACAAAAATTACACTGAAACTGGAGGGTTGAGGAATGTTGCGGTACTAATATCATGTTCAGCTGTACAATGTACAGCAGTGAAATTTCTGGTTAAATCTAACCATCTTAAATCTACTCCTCCAAATTTTCCAATCATCACCAGATGCTGTATGTACGGTAAATTAAACAAGTCAGGGCAAGCTCTTAATGGTTACGTAAGTAATGCTTGGCACCCATTCAGTATTCAGAATGGATGAGAATGGCACCAAGACATCAGACTATTCCAGCCCTGAAGCCTGTTTCTGGTGTAGAGTTTGCCCCCAATCACAAGATGTATCACACAAATATATGGCAAGTTAAACTTTGATACAGGTTGAATGTTTTCGAAGCTCTCAAGAACCCCATCTGCTGTGCAAGACTCATTTCATGTTACGAGCATAAAAAAAATCACTTTGCAGAAACACATTTTCTTCACAACAACAGGTTACCACCAGCCAAAATATCATGTGGTATCAACTCCTTGGCCAAAAAATATTGTGCTTCCCACTAGATGGCATCTTGAAACAGGACAGGTACAATGTAGTACAATTCTTTGTGTTTGATTTCATATTCATTCAGAGTGCTAACTGGTTCAAAATACCAGCATGAAAGGTCACATGGCATTTGCTTTAAATGAAATGAACAACACGTTAAAGGGTACGGTACTACTGTAACTGTGAGCAATTGTTGAATTTTTCTGCACCACATTCAAACTACAATAGACACATTTGTTTTCTTTATTTCCAATGTTACATTTTCCCGAAATCCCTCCCCCCCAAAAAAAAAATTAGAAATTTGGGGTTGTGCTGTAACAGTGGGGAAGGTACATGTAGTGAAACAGGAAGCATAACTATTTTTTGTTGGCCTAATTACAAAAAAGTTGCAAAAAAATACTTTTGGCTCATGAGTGCCATTAAAGGCAATATTGCACACGCACATTCTGGCACAATGTTCCATAAGTCATACTCTTTCTAAAATAGCCGAGTTCCCAAGACCCAGCTGATGTAACATGGCACTTGTTTTTGTGCTGACCCCTGGTGACACCATCTGAACCATGCAATCTTATCTGCCATGTGCACATGTTGGCATTTTGTGCAGGCAGAGACATTATATTCAAATCCATGTTCCATCTACAGATGACGGAGAGAGATCACCATAAACTGAGGATAAAAAAACAGCATGCACGCATGTGTGTATGATATTTACCATCACTTTCAGCATCTGTTTAATTGCCCTTTTAACAAATATACAGCAAGGCTCTTCAAAGTAATCCCCACAGTAAAAACTGATATTTTAAAACTGAGATACCGGTAGATGTAGTGACATGTACATTGCTGTTTTTATGATTAACTGACAAAATGAGTATGTTAAGGGATAACTAGAAAAAAGAAAATGGCGTTGGTGGGGCAGAGCACAGGGATGATACATGTATGTACATGTACAGTGTACATGTATATACACATGTACATGTATATGTACGTGTACACGTATGCTTAGCCAAATCTAATTTCTACCCAAAATGTCAGGTGATGCGTACCGTGTACTGCTACAGTCTGATTCTCCAGTTTTAGCCCAGCTACATTTTCAGTTAGGCAATTTTAAGGCATTGGGCCTGAGGCAAAGGGCACAGATTTGTTTACTGACTTGGGGGATCATGATACAATAAATTAACAGTGACATGAGTGTTCTTTTATTTTGATCAGACAACCTTTAAAGTCAACCTCCTGGGCACTTTTGCCGGTGAACCTTGTTGAATCTTTCAAAACCTTTATTGTGCAAGAAACCAATGGCACATTCCTTGCCCTTAAACTGTCAAGGGACAGTAAGCCCTCATCTTCATGTGCAAGTAATATCAGAGATCAGGATCAGCATACACATACACATGTACATGTACATTTCTCAATTTAAAAAAAAAATTTCCAAAACCTCCTGGTGGATTATGAAGTGTCTGGGAAAGTTACGGTTATACATGTACATGTGTACTGCAAAAAGTTTCCCTGTTCATTTATCATTGCCTCCCCCCCTTGGAATAATAAGCCCTAGCTGAGCAGACACTTTCATTACCACAAGATTGACTGTTTCCCTTACAGGAGGGCAAACAAAGAAAGTGATTAAGCTTGCCATCAGTGAGGACTGGCAAACAGAAATACAAATTGATAAGATCTGATGCACCTTAATAATATACAACTTAATATACAAGTCCAAAATGCTCCTGCTTATTACATAACAATTGCCAATCTCATGCCGATGGACTTGTGCACAGCAGAAGAACGAGACGGAGGCATCTTGTTTAGTTCCCACGGAAACACGAGGACAGGAGGTAATGGAAATTGGTGTCAAGTTGCATGCTTATGTTCCATTTCCGGAGTACTTTTGTCCAATACTTTGTCTGATGTGCAGGTCATAGAATTTAAGGCAATTGTCTAGATTTACTAAAAATCATCGCCTGATTCTTCCTTTTTTTCACCTGACTATACATGAAGTTTAGTTCTAGTGGCATATTTTAGAGATCATTAATTCAGGTTATAGTAATATTTTTCTTTCCTTTCCTCAGGATAGTTTTTGAAATTCAGTCATAACCAGATGCTACTTTAAGCAGTTGTTACCCATTTTAAATGTCAAAATATATTACCACCTGCATTGTATACTGGTACACAATTCCTTTCTACATCCTCCTTTTTGATTTTCCTAAAAAGCCAGTTTTATGATAAAAAAGCTTTATCAATGCAATATATCAGTATGACTATTTAAAGTATGTGGATCTCCCTAAAAGCACAATGATTGTATGCCTATACATGTATACGGTAAGTGTTTTTTAAAGAGTGAAGTGCCAATTTTTCAGGAAGCAGCTTAACAGTCGGCACAGAAATTAAAATGGCCCTGTTAGGCCTTGGGTGAGTTAATGAATATCACAGATAATGGACCGCATTCCATATAATGAACCTAAATGTACATACATGTACGAATACATATACATGTACATAGAAAAGAGTACCTTGCCCCATGACATACATGTACTGTAATTGCATCCACTTTCTTGTTGTCATTTAGTGCTGCATAAAGGGCCCACGTAAGGAAAATAAATTATGGTCTCCAACTTGTCAGCATGTACCTCAGTACCACTATGCCCCCCCATGGCACTAATATCCTACAGGTACATGTAGCACTGCACATCTTTTTACCGAGCAAGGAGTATCATTATTTAAATACCTGATTCAATTAGCCTTATTTATTTTCAACAAAAGTATTTAGGATGATCTAAATAGCAAACAACAATTTTTGAAACCAAAGCCATGAAAACTGCCATTTTTGAAAGAAACTCAGGGTCAAAATGGAAAACTGGTTATTGTCCATATTAACAGAACAGTTGCTCCTCTGTAATGAGGGTCATTAAGAAGCATGTAAAAATTTGTCTCAATGTGGCTTCTTAATCAATTCCCCAGCACATATGAAACACTGTAACTTGGTTTGATGTAACTGTCAGTAACAAAATGATACAAGGCATTTGTGCTCTGTGAGGCCTCAATCACTAATCCATGACTGAACATCTAATGAACTTACATGTAACTGGATTTAACACCCATCAGTACAGTACAGTACAGGTAGAAGATTGACAAGAGCAATAAAAGTGGGACAATCATTGGAGAGTATTTACAGGAACTAATCTGAGTAGCTTTGTGTAATTTTCTTTTCTTGAGTTTTGGCAGAATGGCTCAAGGGATAAAACAGTGCTGATTCCTTCAATTTTTGTAAACCGAAATGTTTTTTCAAAATTGTAATGATCACCACCCTTTTAATGCCTCATAATAATGACATTATTATGCACTGAGACAGGTGAGCCAGACAGTCTCAAACCAAGTCATCAGACACATGTACATCATGTACATGTACCTTTCTCTTTTCCTCTGAGTGGCTGATGAAGTCTATTTAATTCAGTGCTCTAGCGACAGGCTCGAAGAGGAATCTTACCGTATCTCAAGTAGACACTGATAATATTTGCCCAGACTCTTTCTCCCCTTTTCTTAAAGGGAAGGCGTGAGGACAAATGAATGAATTTCCACAAAATGTTGAAATCTACACCTGTATGCAACGTACGTACATGTATGCAAGGACCAGTGCTCACTATACCTGAGTTGTGAGAATTTCAAGTAGGACTTTACCTCCTTCAGAACAGTGCAAGAAAAAAAGATTGCCTCAATTGGATAATAATAACAAGGAACATTTATATTGCGCAGATACTATATAAATATACTCAACTGCGCAGAACAATACCCATCACAAGTAGAAATGAAAATCAGGTGTTGGAAAAAGCTTCATGAAAGAGATGAGGTTTTAGAACAATCTTGAATGTGTCGACAGATTTAGCATTTCTTACATGAAAGGGCAGGTTGTTCCAAAGCCTAGGAGCAGCACAAATATGCACGGTCTCCAAAAGTTGCTTTAGTTCTGCGATAGGAATGACTAAGGATTAAACGAAATGAAATGAAAACAAAACAAAAATAGGGCGTCCTCAGATTTGTTGCTGTACATGTAGGTCAATGTCACTTTCTGGTGCTGATCAGCAAACCTACCGG